GACATTTCTCAATACTTCTTGTCAAATTTAATTAAACTTCTAACAAATACAGATTTTTTTTTATAACATGATTTGTTAAAACATGGAACCTTACATATTTTTAAGTTTTGATGCTATAAGGTATACTCTAGAATTAGTGATCTTTGGTTTCATATCAGGTATATATAATGTCTGATACTGGTAAGCTAGGCATGTCCTAGTAGCTTGGTGTCATAGGTTCTAATTGAGCTGTCCCTAGGATAAAATAATGTTCATTGAATTTATGGTTTTTTCTAGTTCTTATATATTTGTTTTGTTCTTTCAGGTCCTTTTGGAGATTGTGGGTATAAGAAATGTACCATCTGGGCACGATGGAAACCTCTTTATCTCTTTTAGTAAGAAGCAGCCAGATTTGTTCTTGAATTCTACGAGATGGCTCAGTATTTTGTCTGAATATGGAGAGAAACAAGTTTCTGCTTTTCAGTGTGAACCCACAGGGGAGTTGTTCTTTGAACTTATGTCCCAATCACCTTCTGACATATCAAGACCAGCCAAAGTCATGGGGACAACATCCATCTCTTTGCAAGACCTGCTTGACCCAGCCTATAAACTGTCAATGGAGAAGTGGTTTGAGTTGGCACCTCGTTCTGGCATTGGCTCCAAGCCAATCTATTTGCGTATTGCTATTTCTGTCACTACCCCAGTACTAGCACCACAGGTGCTTAACATGGTCCGGTCACGTCCATGCTTGCTTAATCCTGGTTTCTTCCCACTACCAGGAAGGGTCCAACATGCAAAGAGCTGGACAAGCATTGTGGATGAAACTGGCAACGAGATAATGAATATCCAGATGAGGTGTGCAAAAATGATTTCCTGATTTTCTATTAACAGATGAGATCTTGCAATTCTTTGTAGGTCTGGCATCTTAGTTCTGATAGAATGAGGCCAGGTAGCTTTAGGTTAACAAGTTGAGGAAACTGAGACACCAAGAATATAGCCAGTAAATCAGTCTCCCATAGGGCTGAACAGGCTTGGATAAAGCATTTGTTAAAGTTTGAATGGGCCTGGGCCCAATGCTGGATAAATTCTTCCCAAAACACAGGTATGGGTCATTGTAGCGGCCTAAACCATTTGGTTCCAGAAGCTTTTAACCTATAATGTCTATTTAGATGCTCACAAATTAAAAAACTTGGCCATGATAACCATAGATCATCCAAATGGTTTGGTTTTGGCATTTGAGAATCTAAATTATTTGACGAGTCCACCCACCATGCACCACAAGCATACCCCTTACAGTCCATAGGATGGACATGTGGATTTCCTCTTTCAAAGAGGTACTGGTAAACTCTATCTTTAGTAGGTGAGAAAATCACTCATGTGAAAATAACTAGGCACTGCCACAGTTTCAAGATGTGAAATCTATCTTGATTCTTATAGATCAAGGAAATCATTGCTTACTCTTGTTTTGATGTCATGCATTTATTGGACAGTTACTTGATCTAGGAGCAAATTTCCCTTGTTTTTTATTGTTTCAGTAGCTTATAGTACTGCATGGAAATAATCCTTAATGCATTATTATATTCGAGTCTTGAACATAGTCAGCGTCTAATTTCTAATGAATTACAGGGAAAAAACTGAGGTTGGAACTGAATGTGTCACAATGAAAGAGGTGATTGGCATAACGGGATCTGGTGAAACTCATGTTCTAGCTGAGTTTGTAGAAACAGGGTGGTCTTTGATAAACTCTCATGGCTCCTTTCAGCTTCAAAAGAAACCCAGTGAGGATGGGCATATTTTTGAGCTTAGAGGTGACCCGATGGTAAGCATCTTCACTATTCTTCCAGATATGATTCTCATATCTCCTTGTTGGTTTACTTATTTAATTTGACTTCCCCCAAATGGAAGCAAATTTTCTGAGTTTCTCTTTGAGAATCATATAGATGCACATTAATTACCTTTTAGGCTTTTACCATTTCTATGGTGTCTACGAAAATTTTATTAGGAAATGCATTGTCCAATTCACAGGGCACCTGTAATGGATGCATGCCACACATGCTCATCAAACCTGGAATTTCCATTTCATGGACAAACATATTTATATAGTCAAAATTACCACTTGAATTGACTACCATGTAATGTCATACCCCGAAAGTGGTTGCCTTGGACTGTTATTATGGATATCTGGGCATGATGATATGAAACTAAAATATAAAGGTCATGATTTTTTTTGGTAGAAATAAAGGTGATGAATTTTATGCATGACACTTGCAGCTTCATATGCTCTGTTTAGATATTATTTGTGAGTATGATTTAGAATATCACTTAAGGTACTTAAATTGGATTCATACTAGTCATGGAATTTAATTTTATGATTCAAAAGGTGCTTACATTGAACTGGATGGGTGGTGTATAACAATTGGGGTGTATTCAACTATGTCATACAAGTCTGACCAACCAATGAAGAAATGCACAGAGAGAGAGAGAGAGAGAGAGAGAGAGAGGGCACTCTTGAATTCAAAGTTGAAGTATAGTAGACAGTTTGGCCGCTCCCTCCCATTGCTCTAGCTTATGGGAACTTCAGGTTCTCGTCTTTGACTTGCCTAATATTGTTGTCTTTGTGTTTTTCTATTCTTGGTGCAGGTGAAACTTTTCCCCGGTAGAAAGTTGAAATTTGAACCAAGGAACTGTGAGAGGCACAAGAGTGACTACGACTTCATGACTGTAGTTGAATACACAGCTGAAGATCCATATGGCAAAGCCTTGGCATTGTTCAACTTGAAATCTGGGATTCTCAAGGTACATCTACATTTTCTACTATTCTTAGCAGGAAACTCCTCAATTAACGCACTCCCCACTTAAACCTTCATGCAGGTCAACAAGGAATGGTTCGTGTTGCCTGGGATAACATTGGCTTTTATACTCTCTGACACTATGAGAAAAGAGGGATACAGTAGTTTCATTGCCAACGGAGATAACATAAAGGAGATGGCCTGTTTAAGTGAGGATGCTGAGAATCGTGATATGACTGAAAAGGTGGGTGCTAGCAATGAAAACTGTGTTAAAGGAGAGTGCGAACGTTTAGTAAAGAGTGGCGCATGTGGTGGAGGATGTGGCAGTGGATGCGGAGGTGGGTGTGGACACATGATAAACAGTAGTGCCTGTGGGGGATGTGGTGGCGGATGCGGTGGTGGGTGTGGGAACGCGGTAAAAAGTGGTGGTTGCGGAGGATGTGGCGCCGGATGCGGTGGTGGGTGTGGGAACGCGGTAAAAAGCGGCGGCTGTGGAGGATGTGGCGCCGGATGTGGTGGTAATTGCGGCAATAGCTTGCCTCATAATGCTTAGAATTAATGGCAGCGACATGAGCCTATGCATCGTGGCCGTGGGTCGTATAATACTTTGATTATGCTGTTTGTACTATCAATTAGCTTAATGCTTGGCCCGGTTGTAGCGGAGAGTTGGGATCAAATCCCGCTATCACCAAGGTTGGTTGGGGAGGTTATGGTTATGGATGGGAGACGGGCTACTCCCCGTTGTGTAGCCTCATGAATAAAAATAAATAAATAAATTTGTAATAATAATAATAATAATAAATAAATGTGTGGGTGTGGCTTCGTTTCATTGGCTTTTCCTTTTTTTTTTCTTAACCTTTTTCCTAAAATTACTTAGTACTTGCTACTTTTTTTGGCTTCACTAAATTACTTATTACTAATTATGCATCGCCTGGGTTTCTGTCAAATATATAATTGAACGTACCAAGTAATGAGGTTCACCTAATAATGATTTGTACTCCCTTTAACCACAAAATTATCGGGGTTTTGTTATGGGACGAGAGGAAATTAAGATGGAAATAACCCTTTTATCAAATTGCCCTTAATAGTAAATATTTTACCAAAGTGGTTTCAACAATAAAAGTATCAATTGTGGAAATTATAAGCTATATCTCTAAAATATGTATTTTGAAATTGATAAATGTATCCTTTTGTTTATGAGCATTGCACATAATTTTATTATTTTTCATTTTAATGAGAGGGAATTAAATGAGGTACAAAGTAGTAATTCAAATTCCATTTTATGTTATTACAATTAGAAAGGGATTGAATTAAAAAATAGGGGTATTTTAGTCAAACATAAACTTCGTACTTTGTTATTACTTGGATTTTATCCAAATCCAATCCAATTATAATCTTATTCAACACTACTATTGGGAATGCAATTGTTGGGCACATGGGTTTAGAGAAGACTACTAGTTTTTATATCTATGATAAGAGTCTAAATCTCCTAAAAAATGGTTCCTAGTTTTTATATTAATGATAAGATTCCCTATCTCTTTACAGAAAAAAATTTAGCCCAACCCCAAGCTCTAAACCCCCAATCCTAACCCTAACCCAACTTGGCCTTCAACCTGATCTACCCAATTCGAAGTCAACTTTGGCTTGCACTAGGCTCGGGTTGGGCAACCTAACCTTCTTCTCATCCTTTAAAATCTCGTAGAACTTTTCAATCATAGATCTTAATTCAATTTTCATAACATATACTAATCCTTTGTTTCATTAATATTTTTTGTTGATGTTTTTATTGGTTCTTTTAGTATAAAATTCAGAAAAATAAGTGTTTAAAATGACTATAGCTTATTATGAGTTATGACTTATGATACATCTTTTATGGGTGGCAAATAGGAGAGAGTAGATGAAAAATAAAATATTCAAAAACATAAAATATGTTATTAAAGTTTTAGTCTTTTCGATTATAATTAAGTGAAGTGATTATCTTAAAAGAAATAAATGATACTATGTGGTGGGGGCTATACAATTATCATGCATCTAAACAAATCAATGTATGATATATATATATATGACATGTACTATAGAGTTGGGCTTGGGTTGGGTCAGATTGCTCAAGGGGTCAACCCTAACCCTAACCCAAGCATCAATCCAATCCAACCCAACTTGACTTTTTCGGGTTGGGTTAAGATTGGATTTGGGCCAACCCAGCCCAAGTTGCAATGTTATCATGTGGGTAGGAGATCTGGCCTGTTAAGATTAATATCCAATTTGGAGTCCGGGTGGCTATGTATCTAATCTATGCATCAGCTATGTATCTAATCACAAGCGAACATGCTAGTTTCAAACACCTAAGTATGGGCTCCGTGTGTACATATCGAGTTGAAATTCAGGATTCTAGTTTGGCTAGACTGATATGCTTCTTCTTGTGTGTGTGTGTGTGTGTGTGTTGGAGGGCCAAGAGGGTGTAAAAGGTAGTTGGGATCTATTTCCAATAAAAGTTCTCCCAACATGCTTCCAACCTGATCTATATATACACTATCTCACTACTAGACCTGTTCATGGGCCAGGTCGAGCTTGCCTCTTTATCAACAGAAAATGTGTAAGCCCAAGTATGATCTATACGCAAAATGTCTTTATTTTCAATTTATTTTTATAAATTAATATTATATTAATTTAGTAATAAATTAATAAACCAATTTGTATTTCCTAATAGTAAATTAATATTTATTAATAATTTAAGAAACAAATATATATTAAATATATTTATTATGTATAACATAAGTATTTTTTTATTATATGTATAGTATTGGGCCATGCTTATTTGAGAAAGCCCAAGCTCGGCCTAAAAAATTATCGGGCCTAGTATTTAAAGCCCAAGCCCGAGCCCGAGCCCGCGGGCCTGAAATTTTGTCTAAGCCCAAAAAATAATAGGCAAAGCCATTGGGCTACCCGACCCATGAACAGGTCTACTCACCATGAGATTGGAACCTACCATATATATCAGAGATGTGTGGACACAGATCATGTTGGAGTGTGTTAAAACAATTTGTTGGGAGTTGATCTAGTCTCATGAAAGGGAAGGACAAAGAGCCCTGCCTCTCGTTTCCCATCATTGATCACATTAGGAGAGAGCAAAATACATAGGGTTTTTAAGGAATGTCTTGGATATAGGGCAACTCATTGAGATTGTGCTGAAAAAATAGGGTAAATCCCTTAAAGCTCCCCTAGGTTTTCTAAAAGGAACTTAAACCTCCCCTCAAACTTTGATCTACTCTTAAACCTCCCCTTACTTTTGGGGATAAAGGGACTTACAAAGAGTTTGAATTTGCACCCCACAGCTTGGCACACCAAAAACGTCGCACATAATGGAATTCTGCTGCGTGTCCTCCCACATGCATTCCCCCCTCAGTTTGTGTGGAGCTAATCGGATGGCCGCTAGTTCCAAATTTAACCCAAAAACGAAAGACATGGTATTGAAAGAATTTAAGGAGAGGTCAAAGTTGAAGGTAGGGGTGTCAATTGAATTGGATTTGGTCCAATCCAATCTGGCCCAATGTGAGTCCATTGTAAATGGATCAGGTCCAATCCAATCCAATGAATATTTTGGACCAATTTGGACCAGTCCAATTCAATGTCTGGATCATCCAATCTATTCAAATTCGTTTTGATTTAGATTGGTTTCAACCCAAACCCGGGTCCATTGACACCTATATTCTTATCTTATATCAATGGATCAAATATTGGCTTAATCCAACCCAATCCAGTGCAAATTTATTACGGATGGACCAGGTCCAATCCAATCTAATAAATATTTTGGACTGGACAGGGTCCAATCCAATACTGGTCCATTGACACCCTTAGTTGAAGGGAGGTTTAAAACCTTTTTAGAAAGGGAAAATCTATGATGCTGAAAAGATATGGTATTGAAATAGAGGTGCAAATGGATAGGATCATGATCTGATCCGATCCCATTTGGTCGAATTCGGATCACCCCTATCCAATCCGAGAAGATCCGATATGATGTGTTGTATACTTATAAATATAAATATATATAATACATATATATATGTTATTTATTTATTTATAAATATATTATTTATATTATATTTTTATAAATTTGTTATATTATTTATTTTTTATAAAAAACATGTATATATGATGAAAATAATTAGAAAAAGCTTGTATTTTTTTTTGTTTTTTCTTTACTTAAATTGGTATATTTTATTTTAATAATTTATTAACTTTTAAAGAAAACAAGTTGGATCAAATCAGATCCGAAGATCCAATAGGATTCGAATTCAGATCAAGTCCTATCAGATCCGATATGAACAGTGTAGGATCGGATTCAAATATACCTTGATTCGAATCTGTTTGAAAGAATTTTGACCAATCAAAACCCACAATTTTGATAAATTCCACCTGATTGGTTAACACGTTTATTATACTAATTGATTACTCTCAATTTTTCAGATATCATGTATTTCTCATACCATAGTCAAACCTAGAGAGGAGGTTTAAGGGATTTATCCAAAAAAATAAAAAATAAGGCATTGAGATTGCCTTCTTTTTTTGGGTAAAAGACTTAAACCTCCCTTAACATTTCTCCTAAATAATAAAACCTTCCCTCTTTTCAAATTGGATCAGACCTGTGATAAAAAAAACCTCTCCTCTCCTCTCCTCTCCTAACGATTCATCAAGTTCCATATGTATGTGACGTTAATTTTTATGAAAAACCCAAATTCTACACTTTTGTGGGCTTTGCTTAACTAATGAGTTCTTAATTATGGTTATCTTTTTCTGAAAAACCAACAAGCCATCGAGTTCATCCACATGTTCTCCTTTGGTTTTGTTTGTACAGTATGGTGTTGTTGATAGCTATGCGACTGCAATTTCCATTGAATAATCGAAAGTAGTTACAAGATTAAATTTTCTTTGAAATAATTCACTTTTGAACAGTTTCTATTTATTTCGCTTTATTTATGCTTGATGGAATCTTTGTCATCAAATGGCACCCTGTCTGTTATGGAACAACTAACGTGACTCTGTGGATAACTGATAACTGAGGGAGAAATAAGAGCTCTGTCGAGACCTTCCATTTTTGTTTGTATGTGATCCATCAGACGGGGGTCTTGCCAATTTGTCTGAACTCGTCGACTAAATTTCTGGTTATCTTTCTCTTGTAATTTTTATTGGTTTCCAATTTCCCATTAGCTCTCATTTGGATTGGAGTGCCTCCATTGGTTCCTGCAAAAACAATACATGTTGGTAATTTTTGTTTTAAAAAAGCCAAAACAATACCCAAAGAGAAGAGGATGGCACCTACTACTCTGCTCCAACAACCGTAAAATATCTACACTATCCACTTTCTAACTTTTGTAATTCCGTCTTCTGTCCTGTTTCTCCAACATAGATACCCATTGCTTTTTGTTAAGAAGAGAAAATAATGGTGCGTGGGTTTTGGTTAAGAATGGAGCGCTTTTATTCATCTAGCATGAGGGCATTGGGTCCCTGTGTTTAGAGGAATGGTTTAATAGAAGCTCTCAAGCTCTCTCAGCCTTGAACCTGACGAGGCAAAAGATTGGCTGGAGAAACCATGATTTTGATATTAGGAGGAGGTCTGCTATGGTTAATGGTTATTGAACATGGCATGGGATTTGGTGCATGTTTTTTGTCTTTCTTTTGAAAATTCGAAGAAATAATAAGGGTAAAGGAAACCTTTTGATGATCTTGTTAGACAAAATTCTAACAGGGGAGGTTATCGAGGTTTAGGAGAAACCTCAATGTAAGTTTAAATCTGTTACTTTTTAATTTGGATAAATTTCTTAAACTACTCTT